ATTCCCAGTACTGCCAGGATGGAGATTCCCATTCCCAGCACTGTCTGTATAGAGATCTCCATTCCCAGTACTGCCAGGATGAAGATTCCCATTCCCAGCACTGTCTGAATAGAGATCTCCATTCCCAGTACTGCCAGGATGGAGATTCCCATTCCCAGCACTGTCTGAATAGAGATCTCCATTCCCAGTACTGCCAGGATGGAGATTCCCATTCCCAGCAGTGCCTGTATAGAGATCCCCATTCCCAGCACCGCCTGGGCAGAGATCCCCATTCCTAGCACTGCCTGGGTAAAGATCCCCATTCCCAACACTGCATAAGTAGAGATCCCCATTCCCAGTGATGCCTAGATATAAATCACCATTCCCAGTACAGCCTGGGTAGAGATTCCCCAATCCTAGCGTTATCTGGCACCTATTCCTCCAAATCCAGTCGAAGTGGCGATCAGTACATAAACCATCTTTAAACTAGAGTTCCTCCTCTACGTGGCACAAGCTGCACTCAGGCAACCTGCCAAAACCTACTTCAGCATCACTTTCAAACCCGTGACCCCTGACCTGTCCTGTCTGGAAGAGCAGGGTTAAACAACATGAGGGGAAACAGCTCAAAACACTGCAGTTAGAATGCATTTCATGTGGATTGCAATTCCTAAAGTAATGAAATGGCAGTGTATTAGCCCTTCAAAAATCAAGTCTTTAGTGCTACTGTTTTGTCACTGGAAGTAAATACATTTGCAGAGATAACTGCATACAGCTGTTATAGTTGTCTGTCTCTCTCTCTCTCTCTCTCTCTCACTCACTCCCTTTTTCTGTCACTCTCTCACTTTTAAGTTCTCTCTCAAACTCTCTGTCCTCCTTTCTCTCATTCTCTCTCTCAGTGTGCGTATCTCCCTTTTGCTGTCTCAGTCACTCTGTCAATCTCTCTCACACTGACTTTCTTTTTTCTCTTTCTCTCAGTCACTACTCTCCTCTCACTCTTTTTATCTCTCACTTCCTCACGCTCGCTTTTCTCTCACTCTCTCTTTCTCTCTCCCTTGCACTCTCTCACTTTTTCTTACTGTCTCTCTTACTTTCTCTATCACTCTTTTTCTCTCTCGCTCAGTCACTCTTTTTCATTCTCCCTCTCTCACTCACATTCTCCCTTCCTTTCTCATTCACTCATTGACTTACTTCTTTCTCTCTCTCAGAGTCATGCAGCACAGAATCAGACACTTCGCTCCAACCTGTCCATGCCGAACATAATCCCAAGCTAATTAGTCCCACATGTCAGCTCCTGGCCCATATTCCTCTAAACCTTTCCTATTCGTGTTCTTATCCAAATGTTTTTTAAACATTGTAATTGAATCTGCATCCACCAGTTTATTCTTATTTGCTCTCTTATGTTCTCTCTCTCTTACAGGTATCGCCTCCTACCTCTGTCTCCTTTCACTCGGACTCTGGAGCCCAAGAGGCCCTGATTTGAGCAACTGTACCTCACCCTGGGTAAACCAAGTGGCACAAAAGGTAGCCATGGAAGAGAGAAACTTCAGGGTCAAATGCAGAAATAAAAACACAGAATGCTGGGGATACTCGGGAGATCTGGCAGCAATAGTGGAGAGAGACATAGAGTTACATTTCAAGTCAAACATGACTCCTCTTCAACTTTCTGTTTTTAATGTCCAATTTCCAGCATCGTCACTATTTGGCTTTTGATCACTGGGCCACTGGTGGCATGTCTGAAAGGAACTCAGAAAAGTGAATGGAATGTTAGCCTTAGTCTCGAGGCTGGAATACAAAGGGCTGGAGATTAGCTAACAGCTGTGCTTATATCCCATCAGCGCTGTTCCCTTCCATTCCGTATCACAATTCAAGAAGGGAATATTGAGGCAGTGTAAATTCATCCAAATAACACTGGTGCAATAAGGTTAAATTATAAAGACATAAAGATGTGAAATTAGAAAGTATGGTTAGGAGGTTTGCAGATGACACCAAAATAAGCAGTGAAGAAGGTTACCTCAGAGTACATTAGGCCCTTGATCAGATGGGCCAATGATCCGAGGAGTGACACCTGGAGTTTTAATTTCGATTAATGTGAGGTGCTGCATTTTGGAAAGGCAAATCAGGGCAGGATTTATACACTTAATGATAAGGTCCTGGGGAGTGTTGCTGAATAAAGAAATCTTGGAGTGCAGGTCATAGTTCCTTGAAAGTGGAGTCCCCCAGGTAGACAGGATAGTGAAGAAGGCATTTGGTATGCTTGCCTTTATTGGTTAGTGCATTGAGTGTAGGAGTTGAGAGGTCATGTTGTGGCTGTGCAAGACATTGGTTAGACCACTTTTGGAATACTGCATTCAATTCTGTTCTCCCAGGTATAGGAAGGATGTTGTGAAACTTGAAAGGGTTCAGAAAAGATTTACAAGGATATTGCCAAGGTTGGAGGGTTTGAGCTATAAGTGAGAGGCTGAATAAACTGGAGCTGTTTTCCCTAGAGAATCGGAGGCTGAAGGGTGATCTTATTGAGGTTCATAAAATCATGAGAGGCATGGATAGGATGAATAGCCAAGGCCTTTTCCTTGGGATGGGAGAGTCCAGAACTAAAGGGATTGGTTTAAGGTGAGAGGGGAAAGATTTAAAAGGGACCTAATGGGACGCGTTTTCACGCAGAGGGTGATGCGTGAATGGAATGAGCTGCTAGAGGAAGTGGTGGAGGCTGGTACAATTATAATTTAAAAAGCATCTGGATGGGTATATGAATAGGAAGGGTTTAGAGGGATATGGGCCAAATGCTGGTAAAAGGGACTAGATTTATTTAGGATATCTGGTTGGCATGGACGAGTTGGACCAAAGGGTCTGTTTCCATGCTGTACAGATCTATGACACTATTACATGCTGTGTTTCCTTCAGATTAGAAGATAGAGAGACCTTTTGATTTATCGTCACAGTGCCCTACCAGAAACTGTTGAACCTGGTTAATGTTTATTTAAAAATGCCAAGGTTGGAGGGTTTGAGCTCTCGGGAGAGGCTGAATAAGCTGGGGCATTTTTTCCCTGGAGTGTTGGAGGCTGAGGGATGACCTTGCAGAGGTTTATAAAATCGTGAAAGGCATGGATAGGGTGAATAGCCAAGGTCTATCCCTGGGGTGGGAAGAGTCCAGAACTAGAGAGTATAGGTTTAACGTGAGAGGGGAAAGATTTAAAAGGGACCTAATGGGCAGCATTTTCACACAGAGGGTGTTGCATGTATGGAATGAGCTGCCAGAGGAAGGGGTGGAGGCTGGTACAATTACTACATTTAAAAGGCATCTGGATGGGTATATGATAACACAGTGTGGAGCTTGAGGAACACAGCAGGCCAGGCAGCGTTAGAGGAGCAGGAAAATTGACGTTTCAGATCGGGTCCCTTCTTCACCCTTCTTCAGTCCTGACCCGAAACGTCAACTTTCCTGCACCTCTGATGCTGCCTGGCCTGCTGTGTTCCTCCAGCTCCACACTGTGTAATCTCTGACTCCAGTATCTGCAGTTCTTACTATCTCTGGATAGGTATATGAATAGGAAGGGTTTAGAGGGATATGGGCCAAATATTGCCAAATGGGACTAGATTAATTTAGGATGTCTGGTTGGCGTGGACGTGTTGGATGCAAGGGTCTGTTTCCATGCTGTACAGATCTATGACTGTATGACATGTAGTGTAGAGTCTGCTTGGGTTTCCTTCAGATTATAAGATAGAGGAAACCTTTTGATTTATTGTCACAGTGCCCTACCAGAAACTGTCTAACCTGGTTAATGTTTATTTAAAAAAAGAGTAGAAGATGGAGGACTGATTGAACTAAACTGCTAACACTGATTAAATAATTTGATATGGCAGGACAGAGAGAAAGTGTTTTTTCTCACAGAGAACCAAGAACAAAAAGACACAACCAATATCTCATCAGGTATGATATCAGGATGCCACTGGCACTTCATGTTTTGTATTCATCCACTAGGATGTGGGCATTGCTGGCTGGGCCAGCATTTATTGCCCTACCTTAATTGCCCTGAAGAAGGTGGTGGTGAGCTGTCTTCTTGAATTACTGCAGGCCATGCGCTTATGGCAGGGAATCCTCTAGTGCTCTTAAGAGGAGAATTCTGGGATTTTAACCCAGTGACGCTGAACGAATGGCAATATAGGGTGGAATCTTCAACATTTTACATAGATAGTGGCTTGTGTGTGGAATGAAACACCAGACAAAGGTGGTGGATGCACGTACAGTTACAGTGTTTAAAAGACATTTGGATAAGTTCATGAATAGGAAAGGTTTGGAGGAATATGGCCCAAGTGCAAGCAGGTGGGACTAGTTTAGTCTGGAAACATGGTTGTTGTGGACTGGTTGGACCAAAGTGTCTGTTTCCGTTCTGTATGACTCTATGAGTCCTGGAGGCAATGAATGCAGGAGTGAGAAAAGGATTTAATTGGGTGGGGAGGGGTGGTCTACCAAACCCCTGCCACCCTCCCACCCCTACATGCAACCAGTGCCAACCTCTCATTGGCACAGCACTGCCAGTGCAGAAGTTCAAGATCCTGCCTTGTGGGTGAGAGTGAGAGCAGAGTGCACAAGTGTGGCATCCTGGACCATGTAGAGGAGTGTGAGTCTGATTCACATCTTTTTGTTTTGAATTGGGTACAGACACAGCAAGAGCTCAACAGCAGTTTACTTTGCAGATTTTTCAGTTACCACAGAAGGAAAATACAGTAAAACTGGTGAATGGGACAAACTGGTCACCTTCTGGTTAACACTGGTGTCTCATAGAGCCTGAGGTTTGATTCCAGCCTCGGGCAACTGTTTGTGTAGAGTTTGCACGTTCTCCCTCTGTCTGCATAGGTTTCTGCTGGGTGCTCCGGTTTCCTCCCATAGTCCAAAGATGTGCACTTTAGGTGGACTGGCCATGCTAAATTGCCCAAAGTGTCCAGGGATGTGCAGGCTAGGTGGGATAGCCATAGTAAAAAAAATCCTATGGGGATAGGGTGGGGATTGGTCTGAGTGTAATGCTTTTTAGAGTGTCAGTGTAGACTTGATGGGCCAAATGGCCTCTTCCTGCACTGTAGGGATTCTATGATTCTAAATGGTTCAATTCAGCTCATGTACCTGAGAAATGATTGTCCAGTCCACCCAGCACATTGGACCGGTATTTTCGTTCCTCTGGGATTTTCTGGTGCTGATTGTGCATCATTCGGACCTTGCTTCAACAGATTAAGAGTGGAGAGAATGCAGCTAACATTGCGAATGAGCTGTCCCGGCACACCAGAGGCCCAATTTATGCTGGCGATGTCAGCTCCTCTGTCAAACTGATGGAGCAATTACTGGATATTCTCGACGCCCAGCTGCAGGCTCTGAGACCCAGTGACAAGGAGTCAGCGGGACGCAGTTACAACAAGGTTTGAACCATTTTCCTTCATGTGGATTACATCTATTTATAGGGGACAGTTAGCATTCACAAGATCCTCAGTTCAGAGAGGGAGAAGTGGGTGACTGCAGAGTGGAGAGATAAAGAAAGCAGAGCACAGAGTCAATAGAGAGAAGAGTGTGACAGAGAATGCAGAGTGAGGAGTAAGGGATAGAGAATTCAAACCAGACAGAGAGTGAGCAGAGCAGTGAGAGAGAAAGAATATACAGCAAAGAATGAGAGAATGCAGAGCAGAGAGCAAGAGAATGCAGAGCAGACAGAGAGAGAATGCAGAGTGGAAAGCAAGAAAGACAATATAGCATAGAGAAAGAATAGAATGGAGAGAAGGAGTATGCAGAACAGAAAGAGAGAGAATTCAGAGTTGAAAGGGAGTGAATCCAGAGCAGAGAGACAAAATGCAGGGTGGTGGGAAAAAGGGAAAGAGAATACAATCCAGAGAGAGAGGATGTAGAGTGAAGAGAAAGAGAGGAAGTTAATATGATGGAGGGAAGAGAATTCAGAGCAGAGAGGAGAATGTAGAGTGGGAAGCAAGAGAGAAAGATACAGAATGGAGAGAAGGAGCTTGCTGAGCAAAAAGAAACATGGAAAGAATGCAGAGCTTAAAGGGACCGAATGCAGAGCAGAGATTCAAATGCAGGATGGTGAGAAAAAGAAAAAGAGAATACAGAGTGAGGAGAATGAGAGAAAGAGAATGCAGAGCAGAGAGAGAAAATATGAGAACAGAGGGAGAGAATGTAGAGCAAAGATAGAGAGAACGCAGAGTGGAAAGAAAGACAAAATATAGCACAGAGAAAGAATAGAGTGGAGAGAAGGCACGTGAGAGCAGAAAGAAAGAGAGAAAGCAGAGCTGAAAGGGAGCAAATCAAAATTGGAGAGAAAGAGAATGCAGAGCTGCATGGAAGTGAATACAGAGCAGAGCAAACTGCAGAGTGGTGAGAAAAAGAGAAAGAGAGAGAGAATGAAAAGAAGGTAATACAGTGGAGAGAAAAAGAATGCTAAGTAGAGAAAGAGACAGGGAATGCAGAGCTGCAAAGGAGTGAATGCAGAGTGGAGAGAGAGAGAGAGAGTGCAACCTGGGGTGAAAGAATGCAGAGCAAACAGTAAATGCAAACTGGGAAGGAGGAAAGAGAGAGAGAAGAAAGAAGGAGAATGAACAGCAAAGAGAGAATGAAGAGTGGAGCGAAGGTAGAGCAGAGAGAATGTTATCAGACCAGAGAGAGAAAGAGAATGTAGACTAGAAAGAGACAGAAATAATATGCAGATCACAGAGAAAGAGAAAGGAAGAATACAAACTGGACAGACACTCCACCCACCCTTCCAAACATCCACTCCCAGCCTCAACCTCTCCCACCTCTTCCTAATCCACTCCTTCCTATTCACTGCATGGACAAAGTGTTGAAGCAACCAGAGGGAAAAGAGAAGGCCAGCAGCTGGAGCTGGATGGGGAATATATATTAATCTTGGAAACTGGGTTCACAGCAGCAGTTTTTAAGATTTACAATCACAGTTTGTGAGTGTTTCTTGCACAGCTTGTGCGGTGGGAGGTGGGTGTCAGCTGAAAGAATGCCTTTTCGAACAACCTCCAGAAATAGCAGGAGCAAAGATTCTGTATTAATATAGAGCATTTAATGGAAGGATTTATTTGCACAGTGAAGAGAGAAAAGGTTGACAGTGTGGAGGAGGAATGAAATGTGCAAAACAACACCAAATGGAGTTAAGTGTCAGTAGGCATGAGGTCATCACTTGGGACCAAAGGGACTGTTTTTAAGGTTGAAAATGCAAGAAGCAGAATGAAATTTGAGGGATCTTAAATCTTGTGGAGACTGGAATGGAAAGAAATTGGAAACACTTCTGGTATTTTCACCTTCATTGCAAAGGGACTATGATGCATAGAAGTTAGGAAGTTAGTCTTCAAATGCTGAGGAGCTGAGGTTAGACCCCATCTAGACCACTACACCCAGTTTCGACCATTGAAGGCCTTATCAACTTGTGAGGAAATGCAACCCAGATTTATCAGGATGGTGCTGAGGGGTAGGGTTTAGGTTCGATCAGAGTGGTCAGATCTTGTGTACTCACTGGAATACAGAAGATTACAGGGAGATCTTATCACATCTGGAGTGACTATAGTGACCCACTAGGAAAATCCATATTAAACTTGCAAATAAGAAATATTGGTTCGACCCTGAATAACTCAGAATGGAGGTTCAGTACTATCAAGATATTCATTTCCAAATATTTCAAGGGAACAATAATCTATTCCTTCTGCTTGGGTAAGGGGCAGTGGGGAGAGTCCTAAACAAGTGGGAATAATCTAAAAATTAGAGCTAGGCTATTCAGGAACACATGCAGGAAACACATTTTCACCCAAAGAAACTTGGGAAGTCTTCTTTCCTGTAAGACTGAGAACACGAGAGGGCAGTAAGAGCTCCGAAGGCTGAGGCTAATCAATCTTTGTTCTTTGTGTGGCCAGGGTGAAAGAGTGAAGTGGGATGTTGGGATTTGGGTAAAGCTCGGCCGTGTTCTTATGGGATGGTGCAGCAGGTTCGAGGCCCTACCTGACCCCCTCCTGTTCCTGGTGATTGTTCACCATGTTACACATACACACACACACACACCGGCTGCCTCACAGTACAAAAAGGCACAACTCTGTATCTGGAGCAAACAAGAGCTCAGGACGTCAGCAAATAAGAAGAGCAGAGAAATTGGTTCACAGCAGTGGGACTTCCTCTGCATGTGACAGTTTTGGAGAATGTGTGACAAATGTTGTGTTTTCCTCTCTCTCTCCCAACGGGCACAGATACAGAAACGGGAAAGGACCTGCAGAGCGTACATAGAGGTACGTGAGTGTTTGTGTGAACTTGTTGGGGTTGGATTCATGGATTTTGCACAGTTGCTTGATATTTACTTGTAACCTCTTCTACCTTCCCAACACAACGTCCTTTCTATCCTTTCTTTAATTCACTCCCGCACCCCAGTTGGGAGCACTCCCCCTGAGGATCATCAGGTGGTGGCACAAAGACCCACTGGTGTTTTTTCTTTACTCTTTCATGGAATGTATGCTGCACTGTTACTCATTCCCCAGATTCCCACAAGAAGGTGAACCATTGTACTTCTGTGGGTTTAGGGACACCCACAGTGTGTGGCTGTTAGGGAGGAAGCTGCAGGATTTTGACCCAGCAAAACTGAGGGAACAGTGAAATATTTCCAAGTCCGGACAGTGAGGCATTGAAAGGAAACTTGTGATGGTGGTGTTCCCTTGTACCTCCTGCTCCTGTCCTCTTGGATGGTGATGGTCGCGGGTTTGGAAGATGCTGTCAAAGGAACCTGGGCGAGCTGTTGCAGTGCATCTTGTAGCTGGTATGCACTGCTGCCACTGTGTGTCAGTGGTGGGTCTAATCTAGGCTGGCAGACCAGACATTGGGATTTCTGGGCTGGGGTGTTCTGTATGGCGATAGACTGTGCTTTCCATCACATCCCAGAGATTGTTCACTTATTACTGGAGACTCCGGAGCAATCCTGGAGAGGTTGGCAACTCAACCCTAAAGTTACTGATCTTGATACAGATGTGATTTACTTACAGGCTGTTGTACAAACGGTCGATAACCTACTGAGACCAGAGGCTCTGGAATCATGGAAAGATATGAACACCACGGAGCAGGTTCACACAGCAACCATGTTGTTGGATATCTTGGAAGAGGGGGCCTTCCTACTGGCAGACAACCTCAAAGTGCCGGCTCGAGTCAACACCACCACTCAGAATGTCGGTGAGCATTGATGGGGGGATCGGTTAAGTGTAGCTGTTCTGGCCTAACTTCATATGCCTGCCTTTGGCCCATATCCTTTAATGCCTTTGCTTAATAAAAAAAAAAATTATAGATCTCAGATTTAAAACTAATACCTGATCCAGCATCTGTTTATGAGATTTCCAAACATCTGACTCCAATATGTTACTGCTGCCCACTCCACAGCACCTTTTTGTTGTGCTGCTAATGTGTTGTTGGTTTAGCTCAGTTGGCTGGATAGCTGGTTTGTGACTCAGAGTGATGCCAACAGAAGGTTCAATTCCCCCACCAGCTGAGTTTACCATGAAGGACTCTCCTTCTCAACTTGTCCCCTTTCTGGAAGTGTGGGTAACCCTCAGTTTAAACACCACCAGTAGTTTCTTTCCAATGAGAGAGCAGATATGACTAGCATGACAAAGTCTCTATTTTGTCCATTTTAAATTCCTTGGCATTCTCAGTGCAATTCCACTGTCTTCCTCCTCTTCTCTCTGAACACTGAGCTATCTCAGTCCAACCCAAACATCTCAATACAACCACTGCATCTCAATCTGCTTCCCACCTCAAAGTTTAATCCAGCAAAACCCAAAGTCATTGTCCTCAGGGTGTGATTCTTAATCTTTCAAAACCCACCTTTATATGTTCCCCTAAACTCTAAAGTTTCGGCAAAGATCTGTAGTTTGGGTTGTGGAAGAGATTGCTGACTTGTTCGCTGAGCTGGCTTGTTTTTGTTCAGACATTTCATCACCATGCTAGGTAACATCATCAGTGGAGCCTCTGAAGAAGCGATGTTATTCTACTCCACTTGGAATTTATACTGTCCGGTCCGTTATGGTGAGTAGTGTCATTTCTAGTTTTGACCTGTATGGGGTTGTATATGGGGTCCAATTCTATATGTTTGTTGATTGAAGTAAAGGTGGAGAACCATGCCTCTAGGAATTCCCATGTGTGTCTATGTTTGGCTTGGGCTACTATGGTTACTTTGTCACAGTTAAATTGATGGCCTTCAATGTCTGAATGTACCAATATGTACTGTATACAGAAAAGCAACCCATACAGGTCAAATCCTCAACTTCCACAGCAACCACCCCAACGTCCACAAACAAAGCTGCATTAGGAAACTATTTAAACGGGCCACCACTCACTGCAACACTCCAGAGCCAAGCAGGAAAGAGGAAGAACACTTATACAAGATCCTCACTTTAAACGGATATCCCCGCAACTTCATCCACAGATGCCTACAATACAGACGACCAGGAGGACACAGTACGCCCTAACACACTGGCCACACTGCCCTACATCAAGAACATATCTGAACAGACAACAGACCACTAGGAATCATGGTAGCACACAAGCCCGCAGCCAGTCTACAATAAACACTCACAAGAATTAAAGACCCCATTCCCACAATGTGCAGAATGAACATGGGTTACAAAATACCATGCAACGACTGCCACAGATATTAAATCGAACAGACAGGAAGGAAACGAGCCATCAGAATACATGAATATCAGCTAGCAGCAAAACAGCACGACAAACTCTCCTTAATATTGGTACATTCAGACAATGAAGGCCATTAATTTAACTTGGACAAAGTAACCATAGTAGCCCAAGCCCAACACGCACAGGAATTCCTAGAGGCATGGTTCTCCACCCACTTCAATCAACAAACATATAGAATTGGACCCCTTGTACAAAACCATACAGAACAAAACCAGAAATGACACTACTCACCATAACGGACTGGATAATATAAATTCCAAGTGGAGTAGAGTAACATCGCTTCTTCGGAGGCTCCACTGATGATGTCACCTGGCATGGTGATGAAACGTCTGAACAAAAACAAGCCAGCTCAGCGAGCAAGTCAACAACCTCGTTCCCCTAAACTAATCCATTGACGCTGTGAGTAACAGCACAGGAAATCATTTAACATGTTAAAAGTCTTGCACAAAGTATATGTTTTCTACGAGGCATCAAACTTTCTTCCTGTTACATGTGCCGCTTCTCTTTGTCACAAAGAGATCTGTTATTGTCAGAGAGAACATCTTTCCTGCCACACGAGCCCCGTGTCCCTCTGAGTACATCACACGCAGCATCCTGTCCCACCATCTGTAGACTGATTTACCTCCATTCACCACAGACCCTACTTGCACATCCCATCCTGCCTGGGCTCCAATTAATCTGGTGCCACTGTCTGTTGATATAATCGAGATCTGAAGGCTGTTTTGGACTTGAATTATCCTCTCTGCATTGATACAGGAAATGAGGAACCTAGCCCTCTTTCCAAATAATACCACATCAGCGCTAACTGCAAACATGTTTTTCTTTCCTCCCTCTGTTTATCTGACACTGTATACCTGTTTCTGTCTTACTATTTTTTCCACTCTATCCCGTTTACTCATTTGGTTCTTTTGATTTATCTGTCCCTTCACTTTGTACTTCTTTTGTTTTCTCTGTTCCTGCCCTTTGTCCTCTTTGTTGGGATGCTGGTGCCCACTCTTCCGCTGTTGTTCCCTTGTTGTGCATCGACCATGTCTCCTGTGTGTTTCATTGTCTGTTTCAACTAATCATATCTCTCAAAAATGCTGTCTTGCTCTTTCATGTCCTCTTATTGCATTTCAAATTTTTCTTTCCTTCTCCCATTCCTGCCTTCTGCTCTCTTCTCCTCTCCCCTCTCCTTTCCTCTCACCTCTACCCCGTCTCTTTCTCTCCCCTTTTTTCCATTCCACCTCTCCCCCTCCTCTCCATCTCTCATGTTTGTTCTATTCCCCTTCCCCACCCCACTGTGCTTTCCTCTCTCCTTTTCTTTCCACACCTCACTCTCCTCTCCTCTCTCCATCTCCCCCTCTATCTCCCCTTCTCACTCTCTCCCATCTCCCTTGGTCCACTTCCACTCCCCTCCTCTCCCTCTCTCTCCCCTCCTCGTGCCCCTTTCCTCTCCTCTTATCTCATCCTCCAAACTAATGCTTCTGCTTTCACTCGCTCAACCCTCTCTCCCTTCTCCTTTCAATCCCCGCTCTGTTTCTTTCTGTCTATCTATCTCCCTCCAACAGTGTTTGAAGTCTGCGTGCTCAACACTGAAGAGCAGGTGAAGGAGCTGACATTTCCAAATGGTTATCTGACAGAAAGCTTTATCCAGATCTCGCCAAACACCATCAAACAGAACAGCCGTAATGGTAAGTGTGAACACAATGCAGACTGTTAACTCCTGCACTTCTGAAATGTATTGGCTGAGTGAGGACCATTCAGGTTCACAACATGCATTCTCCCGTTATTTCCCCAGCACCATCGCCCCATTGCAACAAAACTGTTCCCAAAGCAAGAGATAGTAAGAACTGCCGATACTGGAGTCAGAGTTAACACAGTGTGGAGCTGGAGGAACAAAGCAGGCCAGGCAGCATCAGAGGAGCAGGAAAGCTGACGTTTCTTCAGAAA